AGAGAGAGTGCGCGCGCGCGCGCGCGGGGGGGGGGGGAGCTTAGCTGTCCTCCTTTGTCTGTGCTGAAGAAGACGGAGAGAGAGACACGGAGAGACGGAGAGAGCAGAGAGAGAGAGGGAGAGAGGGAGGGAGGGAGACCAGTGCAGGAACCTCAAGCCAAGAAACGTTCTAGTTGGCTGCAGTTGCACCTTCCACAGTGGGAACACGATACAAGGATGCTGGTTCGATGAAGCTTACCTAGATTTTGTTTCAGACTTCTCCACTGCGACCGTGTCTTTCGTCCGAGCTTGATACTAGAGCTCTGCCCCAGTGCTTGGATCTTTCGAGAGGCCATAGCGGCATCCCTTCCAAAAGCAGCTTCTCACCTCTCGCCGCTTTGCTGCACGGACTTGTTTCTGCACGGCTTGTCCACAGAACTTTGTGTCACTTGCTTTGCACCTGCAAGGTGAAAGGCAAGCGTCGCATGGGGAGCTCTTCTGACCTCTGTGGGAGCATCACAGAGGCATGCTCCGTAAGGTCGATTAAGGTTTGGTGAGCGTGGTGACGGAGATGCCACTTGCAGCCCAAGCCTGAAATCCCTGTCAGCTTTCATACCTGGACAAAGGGTTATAAGTTACAACCAGTTCCGACTCGGAGCAGCCAGGAACAACATCCATCGTTTTGACTAGCCAAGTCATTTGCAAATGCGTGTCTCGAAGGGAACACCCGACCAACGGGTAAGGGTCTCTTGGTTCGGTGGGCTAGCAGATGAAAGCAGTTCTAATCCAAGGAGTGGGGAGAAGCCAGGTCCATGCCTGGAAGAACGGCCCCACTGAACCAACAACCCTAGCGTAGGCAGAACCCAGACCTTGCCTGGTGCGAGCCCTCGCCAACAGGGGGATGAGTCTGCCGGAAGCCCTTGGGAGGGGCCCACCGAAGACGCTTTCCATGTGCAGCTTGAGATCCTTGTCTTGCCTTTCAAGCTTCCTTGTCACATGCTGAATGGACTGAAGTCCGACAAGCTCACTCCACAACTGCAACGTCAAGACTGATCGCAGGCAGAAGAGTATTGCAGCAAGCTCGTATTGGAGTTTCAAGTTCAGTGCAGTGAAAATCGCAAAACGAGGGACGGGCACGCGCAGTATGTGACATGCAGCGTCATAGCCGACTCGACTCTACCCCTTCTTTACACAAGATTGTGCAAGCGAGACTGGTCACAATAAGACCGCCACGGCATCAAGCTAGGATCACAAGTTTAGCACCTCCCTCTTCCCAGTCTCCGGCAGTTCTTGATGAGACGCCTCTTGCAACTATTCAGGAGAGAGTCCAAAGCAGAAGACTGGGGCTTTGTTTGGAATCAAACGGCTTTGTCGACCAGGCGCGCGCTCAAGGGGAGTGGTAATCGGTACATGCCATGGCAAGCATCCACTCGCCTTGTTCGTGGCTTCTGTATAGTTGGGGCTGCGAGATGCATTCTTGAGGCGAAGATTTCTCCTGGAATCCGTGAGCAGTCTCCTCAGTAAGTACGTGCAGCATTCGATGAGAGCTTGGCCATGAATCGAAAACTTGGTGCGTCGTGCTCGCCGACTCGGTTGGAAAGCGAGTGGCCCCAGGTGAAGGAAGCCCAGCAGCGAGCTGGAACAGCCGTGAGTGGGAGCTGGGTCGGTCGACATTGGAGAGCCTCGGCTCGAGTCGGCTTTGTGTTCTTGGACACGGAGCTAAGACTAAGGTCGTTTTTGACATCTTCGGCTTTCTGATTTCACTTTAGTTTGTCATTTGCTGGATGTCACAGCAGAACTAGCAGAACTGCACACCTGCGTTCCGGTTTCTTGGGCTTGGAGGCTGAGAGCGGTACTTCCACACGGTAGCAAATGCAGGATTCAGGACGAGGGCAGACAAGACTGCGGGCATGGGCATTTGTAGCATGTGTTGGAGCTCCGTAAACCGGTGAAACTGCGCCGTCACGCCGCTCAAGTAGAAAAGTCTTCACTGCTTTGTCGCACGGCAGCCTAAAATATCGGTGTCGGGAATTGTTCTAACTCGCGTTTCTGCAGTCCTGCCAGGCGTCTTAATGCTGCGAGTGTCCAAGCTTCAGCAGAGTTTCGGATGAGACGGCTGCACCGTTCTAGCCAGCTCCGCCTTGCAGCAAGTGAATGCATCGGGCATGCTGGCAGGCCTGGCAGCACTCTCGTGGTACCTTGGGTTGCAGTTTACGGCAGGCTGAAGAGAGCCAACTGCTCAGACTTGCCCGCTCCAAGCCTTCATGGAAGTCTGGAACCCATCCGAGTGGTGGCACGAGCACGAAGGCCCCAATAAGTATCTCAGTTATATTGTTGGCTGCTACGCACAGCCGGCAATCACATCGAGGAAGCGAACTACCTTGCCGGCTACGGGGTCATTCGCCACGAGCTGAATCTCTTTTGCAAATAAGCAAGTGCTCCCGGGATGGCGTTTGTTGGGGGCTGCTAGTTCAGGCCAGTCTAGCTCAGCTTTACCCATGCCACAGCGGCCAAACTCGCGGCTCTGCTAGTGACAAGTTGTCTATCGTGGAAGTGCTGTGGCTCAATATTCACGCGCAAATTCGCATGCATCCTCAATCTGCTTGTGCTACGCATTGCTTTCCGGCTGATGCTTAACCTAGTTTTTGCTGGGTAAGTCAAGTAGCGAGAGTCTCCTGTTGTGCCTGAGGGATTGCACGTTCCTTTTGCTAGGTGCCGGGAATACAAAAAAAGCGATATCTTCGAGAAAGGTCGACTGCTAAATGGGTGATGGTTCTTGCTAGCGTGCGAGGAGCATGCAAGACGGGTGGCCCTGCCGCGGGTTCGCCGTGCCTAAAATTCATGATCAGTTTAAGCGGACAGCCCTAGACGTGGACCCTCGGCGTGAGAGCCCCTTCGTGTTGACGCACCGATTGGCGAGGGCACAGCACACGGAGACAAAGAATCTGGACGCCACGAGCAGACCCGACAGCAACAACTCGATATATGCGCAATCTCCCGAGGAGGACGGCCTCCCCATACGTGTTTTGACATGCCGGATCGTCAAGCAGGCTGTTGTATTGGGAAGAGGCGAAGTGATACCACTTGACTACATGCCCAGAGCCGAGACAACCAGGCCAGAATTTGCGGATTGACCCAAATCCTCTCGCGGCGGGGTTATCATTCTGGGCGTCCTCATGTCTCACCTGCCGTGCTTTGCACACAATTCCGAGCTGAACTTGTGCTTTGGGGGGGTGGGTATGCAGGAGTGTGCTCGAAGGTCACGAGCTACAGGCTACAGTGTAAGTGCATCCATCTTCGCACCCCTTGCTGAACGCAGCCCCGAGCCGAGAAGGACCCCAGCAATTGAAACACAACCTGCGTTGGAATTTAAGGAGGGAATCGATGCAGCTGCGGCTGACTTTCCTGCGGCCAGCTCCCGACCCGACACCCACAGAGAAAAGGCTGGCCCTTGACTTGCTTTTAAGGGTGCTGGCTATGGGTCGGTTACCGGTATCTCAGAGGCAGCAAATATCACGTGAGCGAGGGTGTTCGCAAAAGTTGTTAGTGCGACTTGGTGGTGTCCGTGTGAAGAAAGCGGTATTTGGGGCAGAGCCTAGAAATATAGGCCTCGAGAAGCAGGGCTTCAAATCTCGTGGCCTTGTCTGTTGGGTTCCCGTGCCCCCCACATTGTCCCGGCTGCTGCCGGCCCATTTTCTTGCGCCCCCAGGCCCGTCCATCCTCATTTCTCCCTTCCAGCCTTCCTTTCTGTTGCTTCCTGTTCTTTCATTACTTGTGGTTCTCTCTGTCTCTTTCTTTCCTTTAGCTTCATTGTCTTTCTTTGGAGCTCTCCCTTTCTCTCTCGCTCGCTCTCTCTCTTCTCCAAACTGCTACTGCCAAGCACGAACCATTTTTGCACGGGATCCCGTGCATGTGTTGTTTACCATCCCTTGGCCTTAGCAAAGATAGTTTTTACACTAGAATCATACAACTGTTGTTTAGAAGGTTTCTGTACTTTCCGCGCTTACTCCAAAAGCAGCTTTCCGAGCGGACACAAGCGGGGGCTTCCAGATCCCTTTACCTTTACAGCGTTTCGCGTTGGACATGTGTGTTGGTGGAGTGGTCCTGAGTTGCTCACTGGCGTAATCAGCACGAACCGCTAAACCCTGAACCAAGTGCCCAAAGAAGCTGCAGGCTTGTCGGCCTACCCCTGGAGTGCCGAGTGAAGAACTCCTTCTTGGAGGTATCCCCCGTCGATGCCGACGCTGAACTTGCATTTTTCAAGCCCAGAAGCCAAGGCATGTGCGGACCTTGAGGAGGGTCCTCGGCACCAGCTGTCGACTAAACTGTTTTCGCTTGCACCTCCGTGTTGTGTGACAAGGACAGCCAGGAAGAAGCCCGGCATTTCTCGGATCCCGGTCCTTGTGCTCAGACGCCCGGACCCACAAAAGCTGAAGGGCTGAGGCGAAGGCGTAGTTGGGATTGGGCACAGCTCTCATAAAGTCCAATGGAAAGACATGCAGGTCTCCTCGGGTTAGACTCGTTACTCGTTACTGTATCAGCAGGACCTAGGCCTATCGGCTCAAAGTGCAGGTGCGGGCTCCACGGCCAACGACATCAACTACCTTAAGAAGAGCGGTGTGGTTACACCAGGGGGGTTGGGCGCCAAAGGTTCCAGGAACCTAATAGTGCCACGTCCATCCTCCCAACCTGCAGCAAGCTCACCAGGAAAGGCTGCTCATCTTCAGCGGAAGGTGCAGGCCATCCTCCCTCGCTTCAGGTTTCTCCCTCACGCGTCAAGCAGGTAAAACCTTCAGGAAGCGCACGATGCCAAAGCAAATGCATTCATTGCAGTAGTATAAGCTGACACGTACAGAAGATACAGTGCTTCTCGCCAGGTGTCAGCGCCACCGATTCTCAGCAGCATGTTGTTTTTTTTCCGAGAAACATGCACTTTCTTTCCGAGTTCTTGGGCATCACGGAAGCTTTGGTGCAAGCTCAACTCTCAAGATACGTTCGTATCCGAGATGTACAGCTGTCGAACTAGTGCTCTACTTTCAGTTAAAATGCCGGGCTATCCTGGTGCTGATCATAGAAGTGTGCGCATGCCCTCTTCACAAAGGAGCCGCAGATCTGCGGAGCCTTGGCTGCCTTGAAAGCATCCTATCAGACATGGATTCCTCGTGATTGGTTTTCACTCCATGAACACCTTTCTGTCTACGAATCTGGATAGGAGAATCTGGTGTCGACCCGCTTGTAGTATCTTGTAGTAGTCACTGTAGTTCAGGACTGTCTTGGTCACTGTGCGACAAAATCATGTCTGCCAATTTGCGACATGCGCAGCGAAGTCCAACAGGGAGGAGGAGGAGAAGAACTTCGTCGAAAAGAGAGAGGATGGACTTTCTCATCAGCCATTTCAGGCTAAGCAAAGCCCGCCCTGCACATCCACCGCAATATCTTTAGCAACAAGGAAAGGCCCCAAATGGCAATTTCCAAAGCAGCAGCCACACAAAAGCGGCCCGGCACAGAAGTCATTCAAAAAGACGCTTGCGTTGGTTATCTGTGTTGTCCGTGGGTAGATGAACGGTGGCTGAAAGCAGCCCTTGCTAGCCATCAGACATCTGGCCTTCCTTGTGTTCCGAACCCTTTAAAGGAACCCTAAACCCTTAAAGGATCCCTTAAAGGAAGCTTGGAAGGAACCCTAAACCCTAAACCCTAAGGCAAAAAAACCCTCAGGATATCACACCGAGTCAGAGGCGGTTTCGGATTTGATCGGGACTGCCGCTCTGATCTCTGGGCTTGTGAGGCAGGTGGTGCTCAAATGTGCCCCCGTGGTTGCTTGCCTTAAGCCTTAGCGATTGGTTAGTCCTGGAGTTGCTGCAAACCAGCCGAACATATGTCTTGGCGCCTTCAGCATGCTCAACAACGATCCATCATCAAATCGGCCCATTCAGGGGCCATCTCCACAAGCTACAAGCATCCCGGGGATGTGTGCCATCATCTACTTCGTGCGAATGCAAGCGCGATCAGATTCGAACGTGTACGCAGCTGCCTTCCTGCGGAGCTCAGCAGGTCGGCGGAGTTCAACGGCAAGTGGTGTCGAATCGATGCCTTTGACCCTGAGGCTCGGGCACTTTGCTTCCACGAAATCCCAAGGTTCGCACGTAGCACAGAACTGCATGCACCGGCATCCGCCAAGCTGCATGCGCAAAAAGAGCAGCTGTCAGGGCTCATAACTGCTGCGAGGGGTCCTAATGAAGCGCTTTGGATGCAAATGCCGCGACTAGGTTCGTCGCTACATTGTGCGCGTTTTTCTGGAAGAAGGACAGCCGACTCTTAGCTACAATAGGGCTGGTCTCCCAGCGGGCCGAAAACCCATGCACCTGCCAACACGACCTCTCTGAAACGCCGAGGCCTGTGATCGCAAAGCTGCGCCTGGAAACTCGGACTCGAGCTCGTTGGATTCCTCTAGGGCCCTAGGGAACTGTGGAGCAGTCGATGAGGCGGCATGTTCTGCATAGGAAACGTGTCCATGCGCTTGGCCCTCCTGTAGCGATCCCCTTGCAGCGGCCTGTAGCCCTTGAAGCAAGGCAAGGCTGTGGCTATCGTATCGCTCCACGGCTGATGCATGCACCAAGCGCAAGCCTGACGTTCGTTGCACCGAGCATCAAAGGAAAACCTGTCTTTTGGGCCCACATTTGCGCTGGCCTCATCGGCGACACCCGTATTTCATCCTTTTGCCTGCGACCCAGAACATTGGAGTTGGTGCCGGGGTGGGGTGGATGTGAAGGGGATTTGAAAAAGCTGGCGAATCGAGAAAATACTGGCTTCAGGCAAAATCAGCCTCGGCCCAAACCTTTCTGCAGCACTGGCCCACGCGCAATCTGTGCAGGCCCCGCCGGGTGCTGCTGTTGCTGAGGATCTCTCGGCCTGGCCCTGGGGCCAGGCGAACTGGCCCTGGGGCATCCATGCAGGACCCCACTTTCGTTGTTCTCAGGAGAATTCGGGGTTCGAGTATTTCGCCTTCGGTGGCGCATTCCACACTAGCCTGGATCCAACCGGAGTTGCGAGGGAGGGTTCGAGCTTCTTAACAACCGTCGCTACTGTGCACCCGATTCAGAACCCTTCAGCCACGTTTCCCCGAAGGCATGACGGGCGCCATGGAAGGTTGCATGCCTGTTGGCATGGAGGCAGATGCTTGGCAGGCCGATTCCCCGACAGATTCGTCCTCTGCTGTCAGCCCAATGGAAGGTACCATTCCATCCGACTGCCAACATGAAGTAATCTTGCTGAAACGCAATGCATGGCTTGCTTCATGAAAGGGAGACATTTTTTGGCACGGCATTTTTCTCAACAGAACCGGCTTCTCCTTGCAGCCACGCCTTACCTTGTGAACATGGAAGCACATGCTGCGGGAACCCACTCCGATTGGAACAGCTTGACCTGGCACACTTGTCGGGCTACCGTGGGACAGGCCAATCCGGTTGATTCGGACAGACCGGTGGGCCATACGGCAGCTTTCCCTGGAAGGTCCGACTATGCAGCCCAAACTCCCCAAAGAAAAGCTCTCCCGGTGTCCTGTACACTGCAAATCTGGTGGGGGAGGGCCCGGGATAGCATGTGCTCCTGGATGTGGGAGACGGCAGTGGTTTTGCGCGCTTTGGTTTGGTAGCAAAAGACGCGGACGCGAGGAAAAGTGCAAAAGAAGCCCAAACAGCCAGTGATATCGGGTCAGCAGATGAATGCGGCCGAGGCTTTGCGAGAGACGTGGTAGTGACACTTCATGTCAGCAATGAAATGGGGTCGAGAAAAGTTTTACCGAGCCAACTTGCCCCCGTCCTAGACCCGGTCAAGGTTTCGGGGGCAGAATTGATGGGGGGGTAGATATGTCTTGGCCTCAAAGGCCCAGCGAGGCATTCCTCAGACTTTGAATGGTTCGGCTGGTGTGCAGCCATCGAGGCGGCATGTTAGGTTCTTAGGCTGCGCACGGTGACAGTGAAGCACACTACCGTACCAGTTTGTGTTAAGAAGAACGCGGATGGTTGCTGGAAGGCAGCGTGCGAAACGAACTTCAGTACATGTCCATGGGAGTGCTCGCTTAGTTTGGTCTTGGTGAATTCTGCGGAGTGGCATAGTGATGTTCACCGCCAAAGGTGCTGGTCAGGCTTTTGTCCGCCTTGTCACAGACTAACTTGCGCTGTCAAGTACAGAGGACAGGCTACAAGGAAGGAACGGTTGAATCGACATCATCCATCTAGCGCCCTGCAGCTTGACGGGACGTCCATTGCCGTGCTGACAAGGTGCCTGCCGAGTGGGCCTCCTATCCATTTGGCCCCCCGGGCCTACCCCCGACAGAGGCTTGCAAGGAGAGACATGAACTTGGGTTGAGATTGGGGATGTTGCGGCTTCAAGCTCTGAGCTCTGCAGCTTTATTAACAACAACCTTGCCGCTGAGCTGCCAAGAGCTACTGTACATAAAAAGCCTTGTGGACTACATCCTCTTTCAAGCCGTGTGAAATGCCAGTTCCCAAGTCCTGTGTGCTCTTTTTGGTGTAGCTTGGATTGTCCAGGTCGTGAAGCAAAGAGAAAAAGGGAACGGAAGGAGACGGCAAAAAAAAAAAAGCACGCCCTGTCCGCTCGCAGGCCGCCGTGATGCAAAGTATGCCGCCGCCGCCTCCAGCGACGCCACTCTGCATCCTGCCGCTCTGCGACGAGCGAAGCACGTAAAAGGTTTAGAGAGCGCTTCGAGCAATCTGGGCAAATGTTCTAGCAGCACGCAGACCTACGATTTCGATTTGTGCCGCACAACGGCTTGCCCCGGCCAGGCCCACGACCGAGCACTTCGCGACGTCGGATGCTGCTGCTGCTCCTAACACTGCAGGCATGGCAGAAAATGCAGGACCACAGGAACAAGGATGTTCCAACTGATGACTGCACCTGCCTTGGCGTGTGCTGCAGAGGACTGCAGGCTTTTGATTGTTGTTTCTAGCTTGCATGTGTTGCAGGAGAAAGTCACGAACGCCCTCCTCAGATACACACTCATCAGGCGGGATAAGGACTGACAATATCGAGATGAAACATTCGCAGGCACCGAGAGGGCACTAGTAAGTGTCACCGACAAGGTCCTCGAGCAGCAGCTGATCCAGCAGCACCTTCAAGTGCTACAGCAGAGTGCAGCTCCCGATGTGCAGGCAGCTAGATGTTTCAGGCTTCAGCTCTTCAGGTGGGTTTGTTTCCGCGACCATTCGGATCCATTTAGTCAAGCATTTTGGCACCGATCGAAACCAAGTATTTGACTTCCGGTCGGTCGTCTACTCGCTGTGCTGGGAGCTTCAAGCATTTGTCGATGGTAGGTTTCGTATTCTGGTGACATCCGTTTTTGGCTTGATTGCAACCTCGCTACAAGATCGAGCTTCAAGATCACATGATCCGCATCTCCATGCCGAAGCCGACCATTTTTTTCCCAAAAAACCCTCGGGGTTGGGTTCTCTTTTAGATGTTCCAACTGCGTGGGCCGCGATACTGGGTGTGGCGCGGGAGAGAAAGCGTTGAGAGTCTTCGGCATCCTAGGTCTGGCGGGTGCGAAGCGGGGCGGCGGGTTCCACTGGGCGGCTCGCGATGCGGGTGCGGCACGGGCGCGAAAGCATTTAGAGTCTGCGGCGTTTCAGGGGTCCCGACCCGGGAGCGGTCCGGAGTGTGGCGTGGCGTGTTCCACCGGACGCGGCTCGCGAAGAGGGTTTCTACGCGGCATGCGGGGGGGTTCCACCTGCGCAAGGAAGTCGGCGAATACTGAGTTCACTGCGAGATTTGCTTTGGGGATGGTTTTGGGGTTCCCAGGCTACCTTGCCTGTTTGACACGAGAAGCCCTCATTGACTGCCAACTCAAGGAAGGTGATCCGCCGGAGTCGTTGCATTCGTTCTTTGATCTGCTAAATCTAACGAGTGGAGTGGAGTGGAGGGATGACCAGGGTCAAAGTCCGGTCAACTGGAAGCGGCATCACCTCCGGCCAAAAGGCTTAAGGATCAAACCGCAACGTGCAGAACGACCATGAGACGGCAACGAAAGCAGAAACGACAGCAGACGGAAACAAGCAACAGCAGCAACAACAAGGAACGAAAGCAAACCAAACCAGCAACCACCACGGGGCGGTCGCTTGCAACCCGGGAAAAGTTTCCCAAAGCAAGAAGAGAGTATTGCATTGAGGAGGTCGGTATATCAACACGCGGGTCAAGCCCCCGAAAGCCGGGGGAATGGATGCCCCGAAATCCAACAAGCTTCGCCACGAAGAGGTACAGCAGCTCGCGAGGAAGGCCCCCGCAAGCCGGGGGATGCATACCCCATAAGCCAACGAGCTTCGCCACGAGGAAGTCGACTGCGAGTCACAAACACCGGTCTTGAGCAGGCCAGAAAAGAAGGAACCTATCGCATCAGGCCAGACAACCGCAGACCTTAGCGCGCCTGGGGTCCCAGGCAGAATCGCCGGCAAGAAAGGGCAAGTAAAGCACCACAGACCCAGGGGCTAAATCTAGCGAACTCGGCCCGAACTGTCGACACTGCCAACAAACTTGCCGAACAAATGATATGCGTCACTACAGTGGGAATTCGGAACCGAGGAAGTCGCGATACCATCTAAGCCGCACTGTTTCTTCTTGGACAGCATGCATTACAGTCAATGTGGGAACCTGGAACTACGGACGCCCTTGGTGAATTAAAATTTGAAAGTGCGTAATGTGCAAGCAGCAGCTCATGTCTCCCTGGTTGTGCGGGTCTTGCAGGAAGCAGTGCAGCCATCGGTGAGCTCCTCGCATCAGCTGCTTGCATGAAGAGTTTTCCTGCTGGCGTCGATGTAAAGCGACTCTTGGACTGGGCCGGTAGCTGACTTCCTTCGCCACAGGCCCCACAGTGCCAGCAGCCTCCACCAAGAGGCTGGGCGGAATTCAATGGCATGCTAATGATAAGCCTCATGAGGAAGCAAATCGGGTCTCACTCGAGTATGTGCTTGAAGCAAAGGGTTGAAGATGGGTGCAGAAGCAGGCGGAGCACAAAATCCTGGATGCGGCAACTTCTGTCGGTAGCTTGTGTATTCCATGGTTTGTGAGATTGGGAGTTCCAGATCGTGGCTTCCTTAAGAGCACGACTTCGAAGCAAGAATTGCGCACTGTTCCTTACACGCTCCTTTGAACCGCTTCCCAGATCTTCCATCGTGGGAACTTCCACAATATGTCACCGCAACCTCACTCCTGCACAGCTCTCTTTTGTCGCCACGCAGGGCTTTGCAGGATTCTCCCCGAAGCCTGCAGGCTGAAGAGCCACAGGCACCCCACGAGGAAGATGTGGCAGAAGGCAAGAGAAAGCCGGGAAACTCAGAGACATTGGCTCAAAATTTCCGTTGGGTCCATAAGTGCCAGAGGTGCTATCAGCAGAGTGTCGACTCAAGCTTTTTCTCGATGGTCGGCAGCGATTAGGGCACAAGCAAGCAAAAACGACGTTGAGCTTGTGAGGCATGTCGAACCACCCAAATTCACACAAAAACCTTAACACATGGCACTGAGGCGGCGGCGCAGGCGACGTGGGAAGCGTAAAGGTCGTGGCAGCAAGGATGCGCAGGAGCGAGGTTAGCGGCACTTTCAGAATCCTCGTCTACGCACGGTGCCAGGCACATTTGCGGATGCAAAGCGGAAGATTGCATAATTAGCTTGCCTCCCTTCGTTTTCTTTCACACAAGCATGATCAAGCATGGCTGAACGTCAGCTGCACACGGATTGCCGCGCGAAAATCAACGGCCCTGGATTTCCGCTGGATTTCCCAATGTGCACTCTTCACAGCATGCCTGCAAGCAGATCCTGCAGCAACAAATAGCAAACAGAAGGTAGCATGGAAGCCGAATAAATGTGCAGAGAAATTGAAATGTGAACCATGCGAAACCATGCCCGGAAGTCAGAACTACAACCGGCTCTCGTAGTCCAGGACGCCGAGGACGACGATGAAGAAAGTGATGTGGCAGAAGAGCCGAGACTTGGTGCATGGCTAGTTCGTGAACGGTGCTGTTCTGTCGAAACTCATGTCTGAGTCTGGGGTCTCAGGCATGACACGGAGAGCAGCATGCGGTTGACACGTCCCGATGTTGACTGTAAGGGCGCTTTGTCGATGTTCCTCAGAATGGCTACATGCCCCCGTTTCACCTTTGCGTTGAAAGGGCAGGCCCCGTTACTTTGACATGGCACAAACCAACTTTGTTTGTTGCCCTTGCCGATGCAGCAGATAATCTTGGCCATTCTGGTGTGCAAAGACACCAACCCGCCATTCTTCTTGCATGAACTTGACAGCGACATTGCATGATTCTGCTTTCAATTCTGAGGAGCCTCGGAAACGAAGCGGATGTGCTGACCTCTCAAAGCAGACACGCAAGCACCCCGCAACCGACGGAGGTGACCGGGCAGGGTTTGCTCACTTCGAGGCTTCATTGCAGGGTTTTTTTGCTGGAGCTTTGAAATCGGAAGCCAACGCAAGAGACCTCAGCTTAAGACACTCAAATATTCCTCGTGTCGTATGACCCCGCCACCGCCACCACCACCGCAACAAAAGCAACATTACCATCATAATTGTGAGAAGCATGTACATTAACAACAATAATGACAATAACAGTTAATTAAGTACCAGTAGCAGTAATAGTAAGAGCAATAGCACTGCACTAGCAATGGCAATAGTAATGGTAATAGCATGTTAAGAAGAACAAAAACAAAACAGCAATTAAAGATAATATTATTCTGACAATAATACTAATACTCATAGCGGCGATAGTAGTAGTAGTAGTAGTAGTAGTAAAGGCCGAGGTCCAAGTCCAGCAGCATGCCGCGGCTGAAACCTTGCAGGCTGTGGCCTTGGGCTTCGTTTGTTGCACATATGGCCGGGACGATAGCAGCAGTCTGACTGCTATATTGCACACGCAGAAACAACTGACCTGCACATTCCTCATACAGCTTGGACATACTATTGTTCGGGTTCTTTTGTTGTACTTCAAAAGGCTTGGTGAGGTGAGCCACGAAACGCACACGGCAGGTGCGCACGGCGGTTCTACGGCTTCCGCTGTGGCACGGTGGACACTTTCGACCAAACTTCGCGTTCCACAATTCCGCTGCAATGCGGTAGAATCCAACACTCGCTCTTGAACTTGCTGCATCGCGCTCCCGCCGCAGTCCCATGTTCACTTTCGCCTTCAAATGCTCGAAGTCGCTAAAGCCACGCAGGGCGACACTCTCACTCTGCGCTCTTCCGCGTCCCTTGCTGTGGTCTCGAAATTCCTCCGCTCTACGGATTCTAGGAACTTGACCAAAATCGAAATTCCCGCCGCATGTGACGTGCGGCTGTTCGCTTCACACCACACTCCCGTGCGTGTCCGCCTGCCGAAGTCGTGTTCCCGGCACAGCACTGCACACATTTTGGTTGCGGCTCACTGTTTCCACCCCCAAGAGTCGTGCTCCCACCCCAGTTCCGTGCGAATTTTGGGGTCGGACTCACGTCCCCGCGACAGTGTGGTCGACATTTGTGGACTCATAGCCTGGCGGTTGCTCTTGGAACGGTTTTGGGTATGTAGGGCTTGAATTGATGGGTCGTACTATGTCGTACTGCACTCAAGTGAACAGCCCAAGAGCATCAGCACCCGGAAATGAGGCAGCGGTACCTGGGAGTCCACGGCTGGAAGCACTCCAGACGCTAAGCACCAGGACCTCATGAGTTTGCAGATCAGTCATTTGAGCTGGACTGTGTGCTCGAAGTATGTATAATTTTCGTTTCCTGGCTAAACGCTTTGAACGCCCTCCTCCGCGGACATGACCCACCGAACTAGCAGACGGATCAACCACGAAGCCGGGATTTGAAAGGACCGACTTCCCAAGCCCCCACTGCTGCAGAGCAGGGGATGCAGTCAAAACGGCTCCGGAAATACAACGCCCCGATTTTGGACGACGCACCTAGAGTGCACACCTCTTTACCTCTAGATAGTTTTCTCTCGTCTCTCTCTCTCTCTCTCTCTCTCGATCTCTCTCTCTCGCTCGCTTCCTTCTCCTTGCATCATCCCTTGCAGAAGCACGCCGCATCCATTGCAGCTCTCGGTATGAGACTCTTAAAATTTTTGGCGGCCCTTGAAGTGGATTTGCCTAGAGGCAGGCCTCCCCCATGGTACGGTGGATGGAGGAAATCTTGCACCGCCCGGATGTTGATTCATGATATCGCTGATCACCAAAACCCCGGGCTCCCTGTTTAATGTTGATGATACTGTGCCATGTGGCTGTTGCAAGATTCGTTTGAGTGGAACGCCGGCCCTTCCCAGGACTGTTCGTCGCATTGTTGGTCTACTCAAAGTGGTGCAAGGTTTCCTCCATCAACAGTAGCGATTTGGACTCACGGTCGTGGTGTACTCGTGTCGCATAGCGGTGCGGCACCCATGCCTGTAAGAAACGGTGCAGGAAGCCAGAGGAGCTCTTTCAAGAGGCCTGAGTGAGATGCACATACGCGAAGACTAGCCCTTCCTTCCTTGACCATCCTGATGCCTTGGTTGTGCCAGGATGCTCAGTTCTTGCGAACATTTGGCCGCAGTGTATCCAGCCCAAAGCCACCTAAGCCCGCTGTCAAGCCATGGCGAGTGGCAAAGAAGAGCTCCTGTCCATTTTCCGTGCTTTTGACACGAAGAAGAACGGGCTGGTCTCGCAGCCTTTGGTTCACAAGCTGCTGCTCAAAGCCTGGGCCTCAGCTCGAAGCACAGAGCAGGGGATGCTGAGAATATCCGCGCAAGGCACGAACCTCAAGATAAGGTTTAATCAATCATTTGTGTAACGTTGCATGCCATGTCGGCTGTTTGCAGATATGGACCCATCCTGTTCTCCTCACTGAGGCAGGCTTTGTCAAAGAGCACGTGGACGCTTTGCAAGCATGGGAGTCGTAAATTTTCCTTTGCACAAGCCCAGCTTGTCTTAGGGTTTCAAGCCCTGCGCAAGGCTTGTGTAGGTGCGATCTTGTGATGGCTACTGTCGGCAGAAGCACTTTTGGTTTTGAACGTTGCCCTCTAGGAAGTACTTGCCTGCGTGAAGCTCAGCCAGCGCTTCGATGGAAATCTCCAGAATCCCAGAAACCACAGGACCAAAAGGCCCCAGCCGACCATGGACATGATGTGCGGTTTCGAATTTCGAGGATCAGCTCTGGGAGGTGGCGGGCTTCGTGGCCAAGGACTTTGTGCCCTATGCCAGCCTGGTGCCTCCCAACTTTCGATGCAGAGTCTCAGGATGTCATTGCAATCATCTGGGCTTCGGCAAAGTCGTCCAATCTTTTAACTACCCCACATGCGTGATCCTTCTGCGTGAGACCTTTCGAAGTACGTGGCACCTTGAGGTGGACTGGCTTTGGGCTGCAGAGCTGAACAAGGTGTGGAGAAGATTCCCTTTGCATGAGTCGGTATTCAGTGCCTACTGTAGCCCTACTTTCTGTCTAAAAAGCGTGTGGTAGACTTTCAGCGATTGTAAGTGCCACGACGTGAGTCTGCCAAACCATGGAGGGTGAGCACCTGCAGTTGGGCTCATCTAACGGCTCGATGCTTAAAGGTTTTGATTTCCGGCCTTGCAGGCGCCACCCGCAGGGCCCGGTACTCTCATGGAGCCTGTGGAGCTGGCACAAGCTCCGCCCGACGGACGGGCAGAGGCCAGGTGCCCAAGACTTTTGCCTTCGTTCGAGGACTTCGCATGGCTACGAGTTGTGACAAAGGGCTACTGAGCTGGCTTAGAAGGCTCCATGTGCTGTAATCGCGCCTCTGTGGGAAGTTTTCGTGTTGCGCGCATTTGCATACTACTTGCTGACATACACATACTTACCTGCCTGCCTACGTACGTACCTACACAGCCGGAGAGAATGTGTCGTACGTAGTGCCGCCTAGGTCGCTCTCCAGTCGCTCATGATGCTCATTGCCGCGGCCAGTTGGGCAGAGTATGGTCCAGAGAAAGGCAAACATGTTCTGGGATTTAGGGGCAGCGCAGAGAAAAGTCTAGAGTGTCTTTGCTGAACGAACGACCTGGCATGTTCGCCTTCGTTGATCAAGTGGTCGAAGATAACATGCAGGAATTTGCAATGTGCTGCTTGTCGACAGGTGAGGTTTGTGTGGAGAGCGTCCCCAGCACGCCAGAAGCCTTCATGACCTTCTCAGTGGCATATGCCAAGGACTGGTGAGCGTTCACAAATGAGCAGTATGAAAGTATGTTCGGGTGTGCGAACCAAGACTGCCATCTCTCCTTTTGTCTGCTTGCGAAGCACGTTTGAGAAAAGCTCTGTCCTGAGGATAAATCTCTGAGCTTGTCGGCGAGTTTAGCATCGCTTCTGACTCAGAAGGCACCCAAGCGTCTGGTGGAGAGTTTTTGATGCTCGGTCTTGGGTCATGGGCGCAGTCAAGCACAGGGTTCCTTTCCAACATCTGCTGACACCGGCGAAGGTTCGGCTATTGATCAAAAACGCGCGCCTGGGCGAACATTGAATAGTGCTGAAGTTTTGGTTCGTTTGAGTCCAAGGTTTGTGGTTCCTGTTTGCACATGCTCCAGTGAGTTGGATTTTCAGTTATTTGGCAGGGCGAGGAAAGATCGTGTGCTTCTGTCTAGAAAGCTTGTATAGAAGTTTTCAAGATCTGTTCCGAACGACGAAACGGTTCCCACGACATGGCTGCTGCACACAGTAGGAGGATGAGTTCAGGATGCCTAGACAAAGGTCCTTGGGGCTGGAAGTCGTGGACTATGCGAAAGCGTTGCTGCTGCTCAAAGCCCAAGGCAACCTGGGCTTTGCTGAAGGCCAGCACGATAGCTTCTAGTCGCCAAGCGCCCCGCAAGGCTTCAGCGGCTGCCACGCTCTCGCGGAGTCCCTCGTTGGGGCTGCTGCAATTGGGCTTCATGCAGTGCATCTCAAGGCCAATCGAAGTTTGAATTTCGCAGGAAGGAAAGGTTCGAAGGATGTTCAATGGAATTTGGTGCATTGAGAAGTTCGATAGTCGACCGAGACTGCCGTGCTGCAGGGAGGACTTTTTCACGAACTTGGGCTTCCCTCCGGAACCTCCATAGACGCTAAACGTATCTAAACGCATTGGAGTGACAATGAGAGGGAGCCTTGCTGCAGGGCGAGAGCTCCGGAGCGCGGCAGGCCTGGAAGTGTTGTGGTGCAGGATTGAACCACGTCTTGGCTTGTCGAAGACAGTTGTGAGATGCTGGGAAAGAAGGCAGACGGAACGGAAGGCATAGAAGTTACAGAAGAGTCGAAGCCAGGGCCAAGCCTCAGGTCTTCCGCACGCCGGCAGTGTCACCCTGTGCGCTGCCTGGCTCCCTCGCTGGTGTGCCTTGGGAAATCCAGGTGGCAGAGAAGGCACCCAGGAACTGTTACGGTCGGAGAACCACAGAGCATTACACCGTCTTGATCGGTCCGCGGTCCATTGTGTTTCGGAGATGTCAGAGTTTCTTCCGTCCATGATTATTCACTCGCTCCTCTGCTCCTTTGTATTTGGAAATCACCATGAACCGAGCTCCAGCCGGCGTTCCAGGCCACACCGGACCGGTGTCTTGAAATGGGGATCCTAACCCACACTGACCTGATGTCTCCTAGTTCGCGTCGCAGTCGGGCTGCCGACCCCACGTGCAGGTTGCCAGCAGCCCTTCCCGTCGTCGTGCTGCCCCGCTCGTTACTTCCATTCTATGCTTTGCTGTCAAGATCTGTGCAAAAGAAAGATCCGGTTGATGGCAGGGCACACGGCAGAGAAGAATGAAGAATTGAACACACGACCGATGCGTTGGCATGCGCTCCCTGCCAGTCCGAGCAGTGAGATCCACACCACCGGGTTCCACCCAACTCACAGTTCTGGTTCTTGTGACAGCGTGAGGATTTTCACCGGCGCGTTGGCCAAGTTAGCACGCGCGAAAGCCCACCGAAGCCGAAGCAAGCCGCTGAGAGGCTGGGCACTTCAAGCTCCTTGGACCCAAGGCCCGCGACAAGTCCTTGATTGCAGAAGATATTCGCGGCAGGGACTTGACCTTTCGGGGGAAGGTTTGACTTATCAATGGATGTGATGAGACCCTTTGCTTTCTGAGTTTCTGAGTATCGGTTCTCGCAGAATCGACAGGCTTCGCACAAGTCTTCTGCGTGTAGAGATCCAAGTTCATGCCTCAACTCGTTTCATTGTCAGCATATGTCAACGGAGTGCCTGTCAGCCTTGAGCAGATCAAACAGTGCTATGACATGGTATTGATGGCGAAGTCCAGTCCATGGCGTTCGAAGGTTGTTATTTTGTAGGGATGCACGTTCCCGCACAGCACCGCATTTTGCAGCCAGTCGCTTCTTGCAAAGCTGCCGTGTTGGATCTTGTTGGCAGGATACACCCACGGAATGATCATTCAGTTGTGGCTCCTGGAGTTGAGCGAGCCTTCAACCCTAAACCTCGAACGGCGAAACCTTGAAGGCAGAACGCAAAGGCCACAGAGGGCCCGCAAAGACTGCGACAAAGAATTCCAACAGCTTTTCTTCGAGCCAGGTCGATCTCTCAGCGCTGGTGCCTGGTGAGTTCGGCAAGCTGGGAGACCCTCTTCCCATGAGCGTCGGAGTGAAGGACTCCTCTGCTTTTTGTTAGCGATGCGAACACCCTAGCAAGCTGAAATGCCAGGAGTGCAACGAGGCTGCGAAGGCCAAGGAGCAGACCCACGTAGCCTTACAGGCCGGACAGGGTAATAACTTAGAACTAGATGTGCAGAATGAAGAAGAAGCTGCAACACATGAAGTGGCTGGAGCCTCTCAGGCCGAGACAATGCAGAACAATTTCCTGGGCGAACTCAGCGATCGCATTGCCACCGCTGCCAAGGCATAGTTCTAGGCGTCGAATGTTCAGGACATTTCAGGACTCAGCTTTTGAGTTGCAGAGCTCAGGTCTAGCGGGGGCATTTGGGTTGAGGCAGGCGCTCAGGACAGAGAGGCATGCTGATGTCGAAAGCATTCTGGGTTGCTGCAACTTTGGCCACAGTTTCCGATATGGATCTAACATGCTGAAGTCCAGGAAAGAAGCCGGGTACTTGAGTACGTACAATGATGATGAAGAGGGTTTCCTGCCGCCACGATGAATTGAGGGAGGCTCGGGCAATGCACTGCTTTGAACAAGTAGGGCTTCGAAACTGCCCCTGACTGAAACCGCACTGGTTACTTATGTTGATGCCCGAGCTTTGCAGGGCTAGCAAGTAACAGGCTTCTACTAAGTTTGGATTCCGCTGAATCAGGAGAAGTCCTGCGTGGTTGTGGTGGCAGGGCCTTCATCAAGCGGGACACCAGTCCGCAATATTGAAGTGTGCTCTGTTCGGGGCTCCGTGTTTGAGGCTCTTTTCGGGCGTCTGGCTTGCTTGCATACATCCCGAGCTGACAAATCTCCCCTGGGCCAAAAGCTACTTGCATCGAGCAGTTGCCACTGCATCCTTCTGCCATCCTGAACCTCCGGCCTCGATGCAGCCAAAGGTTCCGACTCATTCAATCAATTTCTTCAGCGCAGCTGACCAGGCACCGTCAAACTACAGTTCACTCCTGGCCTGCCCCACAGATTGGCCCTGGCTTGTGCTTGCAAATCAAGCGCCACGAAGCCTTCACCCTAAACCCCAGTTGATTGTCTGATACCTCAAGCCGTTCACCTGACAAACCTCTGTCCCTGGTGGCTCTAGGTTAAACCTTTGAGCGCGGATCCGAAAGGGAGTAATGAGATCTCGCATATTGATGTCTTTAATCTGAGGCCTCACTATGCGTGGATCTGTGCATGTCAAACATATCTGAACTTACCCTGCAATGCGGGCTCGTCCAAGCTATGTGGGAGGGAAAAAACCGTTTGGCCATGCCAGCCTTGTGCGAGTGTGTGAGTCGAAACCCCAGTTGTGACTGGAACCCTGCGTGAGCGTCAAAAGCCCTGATAGGGGTGTTGCATGGAATGCGCTTTTGTCCTATTTTGCTGGTAACTCGGGCCCGTATTTCGCAAGAGGCTTGCAAGACATTAGTGTGCATTAGTTGCACAGCCGTTTTACCGTGATGCAGAGAGTTTGCACCTTCTTCCATGCATTGCAAGCACACGAAAGAGACTGGTGACGGAGAGACGGAGAGACGGGAAAGAGAAGTTGAAAAGATGAAGTATGTTCGCTCATCCCCGGAAGCCTTGACCAAGTACCTACTCCAGTGCATGCTGTTCTCTGAGCGAGTTCACGAGAAGTTGTATGTCGAAGTGCCCGATACCCCTGTCCCGGCACTGGAGATTTCCAAGTCGCTTCTTGTCCAGAAAGGCACAAACAGGCCTCGAGCGAGGTGCGCATTCTCTCACCGATGCATATAGAATTGGCTTCCTTGGCGTAGGCCTCGCCCCAGCACGCGTTACGTCTTTAATCGATTCCAGAACAAAGTACCAGAATCAGCAGGAAACAGCCCACCACCACGCTCTATATTGTGTCGCAAGCAACCAGCTGAAGATATGTCGGTCTAGCGTCCCAGGCCGACATCAACCATTCACTCTGACAAGGTATAGCTTCAGTTTCAGCGACACAAACACACAGGCTGTTAACCTTCAACCTGAATCCTGACTCCGCGCAACCTTCAACCTGAATCCTGAATCCGCGCCTGCGAGCGAGTGTGCATGTCGAAATGGGGTTTATGCATCCGGAAAAACCCCAAACCCTACATAGTAGGGAATGATGGGTGCCAAACCCGCAACAGTCAAAAGAGATGACGGATGGCAGTTCTCAAAACAAAAGGCCCCTTGATTGCCAAACGCGATGGGAGAATTCCAACACCTAGAGGACCTGGAGCCTATCAGAAAAGACGCAAAGTAAGCAGGGCTTGCAACCCCCCAAACCCCAAGTCCCATAAAGGCGTAGGGTTGCCGGGCTGGTGGCAAGCCTGAGAAGATGGCATAAGCCCTGACAGGGTGACAGGTCTGGAATCCCAAAACCCCACTAACAGTAGCAGAGGATTGGGTGGTCAACCCAAAAACTCCAAAAAGTGGCTCCAAAAATTGAGAACGGCGACTTACCCAAAACGGGAAGAGATGGGCCCTGCATCTTACAAGGATGACTTGGTCACAGAATCCCCAACAACTCTCACGAGAGATTTGGGGTACTAACTAGCGCAACGCCTCGGAAAAGGATGACGAGGTAACCCTCATGACATGGGTGCTAATGGGTGGCATTTCCGAAACCCTAATATGATTGCTGGGCGTGGAGAACTCTGAAAGCGATGAGTGTCAGGGAAGCCCAAAAATATATTGAAGATATTCAATGAATGGGTGCCACACCCCAAAACTCTGCACAAGGTAGGAGCCCCAGAGCCTGAAGCGCCAAGACCCGAAGCAGTGCAACAAGACAGCCGGGGCGCAAGCTGCCAAATAATGTAACAATTTGGTGTAGTACAAGCATTGAAAGTTCCTGTCCCAGAGAAGCAATTGAAATGGATGCATACCAAAAAATTAGCGCCTCTTATATACCTAGTTCTCAACACTTGCATTCCCAACTCCTGTCAGGCTCCTTCCTCTTTGCCCTGTTTATCGTATATTCCATGCACACATCTTGAAACGAGTCTGCAGGTTTGATCAATACGGAGTCCACGCGGTCCAAGATTCGGTGTTTAGATAATAATAATAACAAAAAGCGTCTTACCTATCAGCCAGAAGAAAGCCTCTTGTCGACTTGCTCCTTAACGAAACGACGGCCACAGGCTGCCAGGTTCAACACTCAGGTCCAAATAAAACTTCAGCCAGCCTGATTGACCCAAAAGGCTTGCAGGGAAGGGCACCACCACAGCCTCATCCTGTCAGGATACTTGAAAACAGTTAAGACTCCTGAACCCGTTTAAACCTTGTAAACACTTAAACCCTTCTAGTTTATGATTCGTTAAACCTGAAACCGTTTGAATCCCGAAGCCTGAGCTGCAATGAAACCTCAGTACAGCCTCCTGCGAGCCCGTTTTGGAGCATCCTTGCCGGCGGGGAGGCACAGAACCGAAACGCAGGTGGCTGGGAGCAGGTCGATGAAGGTACCTTTTTCCTGTTCAGTTTCCACGGCTCACCTGCGGTTCCGATTCTGCGGTTCCAGTTCGGTTCGACGGACTTTGAACGAATTGGAAACGGATGACGAGCCTAACCCTCATGACACGGGTGCCAATGGGTGGCAAATCCGAAACCCTAAAATGATTGCTGTGCTGATCCGGAGCTGTAGTGAACCCTGCTGTCGATGCTGCAAACCGAGAGACCTCGTTTGAAGGAGTCGACAATGCAGAAGCGAAAATGATTGCTGGGCGCGGAGAACCCTGAATGGGACGAGTGTCAGAAAAACCAAAAAATGTATTGAAGATGTTGAATGAACGGGTGTGCCAGCACAGAGGTGGACTGGTTGATATGGTTTGCCGACATGCAGTAGTCATTTTGGTTGCCGGTCAGCGTTTGAGTCTGGGATCAAAAATTGGGTGGCACACCCCCAAACTCCACGCAAGGTTGGGTCCCCAAAGCCGTAAGCGCCAAGACGCGAAGTAGTTCCTATGTGTCTACACAGCTATACGGTGTTGTACGAGATGCTTCTTCATCCCCTGTAGACACTGCGTGGACTTGATTTTGAGTATGTTGCTTGCCGTTCTGCCGCGCATACCCATTGATTGCTTTGGGGCCCCACTCGGCTCCAACAGAAAACTGAAACATTTTTTTTTCTCACTGAGATGCGTGATTTTTTTGGCGAAAGGCCCTTACGAGTTGGCGAGATGCCTGAAGATCCCGTAGATGCCCTATGCTATCCTTCAGACTCGCACCTGCTTCTCTTTGCTGGTTCCTAGAACTTCTCAAGAAGGTTGGTAATATGTGCACAAGAACCTGTGTACACATGCACAGCATTCATGAGGATCGAGATTTCCATGAAGATACAAAACAAAAGTGGAGTACAGACTGAAGCTGCAAACCTTTTTCAATTTGTTCGAGGTTTGTTCGGCCAAAACCTTTCATATTCAACGAGAAAAACTACTACAAGTATTAAAGTGCTTTGTGTTTTCCGAGCTTTGTGGAATATATTATAACAACACTAGCAACAAGTATGAAATCTCAGAGACAAGACAAGGTTGGCTAAGCACCTCAAAAGACAGGCCGGGCACAAGCTGCCCAATAATGTAGTGGTTGGTGTAGTACAAGCATTGAAAGTTCCCGCCCCATAAAGCAACCGAAATGGATGCATACCACAATACTAGCGCCTCCTATTCGCCAAGTTGTCAACACTTGCATTCCCGACTGCTGTCAGGCTCCTTCTTGCCTTTGTTTTCGTTTACTCCCTGCAGACATCTTGAAACAAGTCCATCGTTTTGATCATGCCGACTCGCGTTGACAATTTCGGTGTTTAGTTCATGGCTTAATTCCTGAAGAAAAGACTCACGGCCACAGGCTGCCAGGTCCATCACTGAGGCCGGGCCAAGCAAGAAAGAAAAAACAAACAACTCCGGCATAAGACTAAACTACCCGAAGCAAGAGAGGCGGAATTCCTGGGCACAGGAGATTGGAAAGCCCTAGTGCTACCGAGACTCTTCAGATGACCAGATTGTCTAGACAAAGCACAGAATCGCTTGGGGCTGCCCAGGAAGACGACCTTCAGCGCCCGGCTGGCACTGCATTTGCAAGCACGGGGCTGCGATGCACGGCCTTTGGAATGCGACATGCACCCAGCCAAAGAGTGCTCAGCAACACGGGTCGTTGGAAAGGAAAAACTAGCAGGTAAAGTAGCACAACTCCAGACTACGATCATCGGTTGTTGGACTGGAGCGACGGGGTTTACTCAAGTGAAAACTGTGAACATGGAAGTTTGGAAGTTCGGATGTACGATCGATAGGCAGGGCCAGCGAAATAGAAGGCATGCCATGTAGCGTCGATGAGTGCATGTTGCGGGTGCATGGTCTCACGGGTGTGAAACATGAAGCCATCAATGCAGAGCTTGTGTTATGCAAAGTTACTTCACGCCCAGGTATTTCAAGGCGCGGGCAGACCCTTCCCACCCTCGCGATGCGAAGGGCGAGCTCAATTTCGAGGACGGCGAACAAACCTCTAACAGCAACAGTTTAAAGCGTTGTCGGAGAATCAGGTGAGGTGAGTGTTGCAGATTTCCAGACCTGGTCTTTCTCTCGCTTTGTCCTCACTCATGCCTCCATTGTAAGGCATGCGTTGTGTATGCCATGTTTCCATAGCTTGGCCCTTGGATTGTCTCCCTTCACATTGTCTACTGACATCCCGTTGTCTTTCATGTTTCCCAAATCTAGCATTCGGCACCGGATGCCATCACGCCCTCGCGGCGCTCAAGACGTCTCCTGGTCTTCCATGTTTCGGTTGTAGGTATTCCATGATATTCCTGCCGCAACTTGTACAGAAGCTTGCTTCTGTCGTTTATTCACTGATTGGGTTCCAGGTTACTCCAGATCATCTTCTGCACAGAAGCAACGGTTCTAGCCCGGACCCGCAAAAGTGGTCAGATCAAGACAGGCTGCAAGGCTTCCAGATAGTTCGCAGAATGACTCATACGAAACCCCATTGAAAGGACCCTGACTCGCTCCGCATCGACAAGATCAAACAGGATGGGCGAGAGCGTGCGCAGTAGGTAACCGCAACTGCTTCTTTTTCGCGAGAGCTCACACCGTCTTGCACCGCCTCAGCTTGTTCGGAGGATCTTGAGGCTTTGATGACAGGGAACCCAGTGGAGCTCCCGAAGTTTTGCTTCAAGACTGGCACCATCCAGGACTCCTCGGTCATGGCGAGCATGCATACACTGTGCCAGAGGGAGAGAGAGAGAGACAAAGACATAAACAAAGAAGACCGATAAAGCACATTGCCCTCTGCCGGACATAGACAGAGCCCGTGCCGAGGGAATGCGGCAAAAGAAGGCCGCGAAGCTCATGAGGTCATGCTCCGCATGGGCCCTTGGTCCCAACGGCTTGGATGCAGGAAAAGACGGGCAACATCCTAAAGCTGCCAAAGAGCGCCGTTCTCATCATCGAGGGCATCTTTGGACTGCATCCCAAATTCCTCGCCGCCTTCGAGGATGTATCCTTATTCAAGGTGCCTCGTCCGAGGGTGTGAGTTGAGCTGACGATGGCCATGTGATTCTGAATGAATTTTGTGTCGGAAGCAAAAAACGGCGAACTGAACTGCCCTGGATTACCGAGCACCGGTCATGAGGAGCAGCCCTTTTGCGACTTTCCGAGTGCTGCTCTGCTGCTCCAGGTCCTCATCGGACCGTGGTCCGGATCGCGACTGGGAAATCTCTGCTTGGTGCCGGAGCCTCGCAGAAACCTCGAAATGGAGTTCCAGTTGGAACGCACGCATGCAGCAGAGGTTGCCAGCAGGTAGGCCAGAAGGGCACTGCCTCGTCGTCAATATTGCACGGGTTGTAAGAATATAGTTTTTCTGCATCCCGAAATTTCGAAGCTCATTGATCGGTAGCTGTTTCAGGCTCAGGCCCAATCTGCAGCAGCGAAGGTTACCCACAGAAGTGCCAGTTCCAAGTTCCAAGGAGCGAAAATTCCGACTCCTCCGCCGGATTGGTCGTGACGTGCGCAGCCGCGGCGTGGACGCAGCGCGCGTGATGCACAAGCACCCTTGGCAGTATAATCTTTTGGCCTTCGTCAGGCAAGACCAGGTTGGCTCAAAGTTTCGACAGGGCACGTTGCAAGAAAGAAACAGCAGGGGCGACTATGACTAGAGGAGACGAGACTGCCTCGCAGCGTGTCAAAAGGAGGTCCGTGCCAGAATGAATAGAACATAGTACTCACAGCTGCGAGTAAGGTTCACTTCGGCACCTTCGCTGCATTCGGGAAAGCACATTTGGCTTCGAGCTTCTTTGAGAGTGCAGGCTCGGTTAAAACTTATTCGCCGATGCCAAGACATGTCTTACAAGATTCGTGGAAACCCAAAAGGTCGGGGTTTCCTACACTGGAGCTTCTGAAGGTCAGTGGCGAGTCCGATAACCAAGCCCAGCCGAGGTTTCTGCTGGAGAACAGCTCAACATTTTCCCTTATGCTGGAAAAGCCGACGTCATCTTCGACTCAACGCTGCATTACGAGCTGCCCGTCGACCGAAGCAAAGATTTCTTCCTGACATGACACACTGGGAGCTTTGCCCAGCCATTGCCTCTGCACCGGTTGGGGAGTCTCCGTCGATGGCCATAGGGTGTTGTGAAGCCGTCTACTTGCAACCGTTGAGCTTTGACGGGCCGGGTCTCCGGTGATGCTTCAAGCTTGAAGACCATCATAGATTGTTGGCAGGCCAAACCTTCAGACACGGACAACCTTGCAATACTTTCCAAAGATCTCAGACAAGCTGTGTGCTTTCACGTGTGTACTTCGACTTGCTACTGAGGCTGCCGGCATTGAAAGCAGTTATCGGGGCGGATGTAGCCCCTTGGTATAGCATGGGTGGGATTCTTAAAGGTGTGGGCCCCAAGACTTTCCCGAATGTTGCTGACTGTTTCTGCAGCTTTTGTGCAGACTTTTCGGTTTTGGCTGATCGAAGCCGGCCCCCGTCCAGGATTCCTGTTGTTGAAGGGCTTGAATCAGGGGGTTTTTCCACACCAAGCAGTCAGAATCTTTGGTCGTGCTTGGAAGCAAAATCCAATTCTAGGGGTGACGAGGGGGGTGGGTGGGCGGCATTTAAGTGGACGGATGGGTCACTGGGGAGGGGAAAGAGGTTCCAGGAGGAACGCTTGAACCTCTGACGGCTTCGGCCGGGGCCAGACGAGGCGAATTGATGCCACATTCCTTGTTGAGAGAGGTGTCTCTGCACGATGATGACGTGGAAGATTGTGCACGAGTAGACATGGGTTGTTTCAGCACGTAATTGCAAGCACAGTTTAGGAGAATGCAACCAGCGATGACCCCGTGGTGCAGTGGCGAAAGCGTGAGTTGGCAAACTACCTCAGTTGGGCTGAAGCCTGGCCAGTCTCGGAGTATGAGCTGCTTCCCACCAGCATTGCCTGTGAGTTTCTGGGCAGCTCCATTTTTGAGTAGGCCATGTGAATTCAAGGTTGCCGTTATTTGAGCTGCAACATGTGCGAGGCAGTTTGCCGAAGGTAAGCTCCGCACTGCTCAGAGCCACGCCCACACCTGCAGCTGCCTGCCACCACTCAAGCCTCCACTACTTTTCATGGGACTGTATCCTGGTAGCCTAATAGTCAGTCCGCTCCTTTCTCTTGAGTCGAAAGGCTGACCACTGCCCCTGCAAATGCAGAGACAGTGCGACTGCGGGCTTTTCAACCCCTGGCTCAAAGATGCAGCTGTCTCGGATTCGTGGAATGTTAACTGAAATCAAAAAGGCTGTCGCACATACACCCAAGCTGTATTCTACATCCTCCTCCACGCTGTAGTTCTGGCCAACAGAATAGAGTAGGGCTAGCAGCATAGACCAAAATGGAAATTGGCATTTCTCACTACTGAGGTTCCTACTTCGAACGTACGCACAGCACCTACCCATGCTTCACAAACCTTTCACAGTTGAAAGCACAAGCGTCTGGACAACAACATTCCCGCTCGATGCCAGGAGAGTTGGAAACCGCGTCTCGAGGGAACAGCCTGCCCCGGAGAGGCTGGGATTGTCGGCTGATAGCTGGTGGAGCAACGACCAGAAACGGCTCTCGGACCGGCTTAGACTTAGGTCTACTTCGCATTGCAAGTCCAAAGTTCAAGGCAAGAGTTTCATGAGTATACCTTGACACTTTAGGGATTCATTTATCCGGGTGCAGCTTGGCTGCCATGTTGCCATACAAAGATTTGCGACAATCCCCTCATGGCTACCAGGCGATGACTCGCCATGAAGCACTCCAAAAGTCTTCAACAATTTACAGTGGAATTTGATGCATCCTTGTCTGTCGTTCTGGCATTGTTAGCCGAGTATGAGCGCCACGAACCAACCACCGTCCAGGGCTGCGGTGCTTTGTGCTCATAGCTGTTCGCGAAGCGACGCCAACGACTTCGTTTCAAGACGACGGAAGGTTCAGCCGTCGCCTACGCCTCCCGCAGTTCTGCTGACCGGAGAGCTGCGTGAGGGAGGCCGCACCTCAAGCCCGAAACTCACAGAATCTGCTTCGACGGTTCCTATGTCACGGGCTTGCTGTTGCTCATTTCACGTTTTTCCCTTTTGTTCAGCTTGCATTGACGGTAGTACGCTCTCGTTTCGAACCGGAGGCCGGACTTTACCTGTAGATTGCTTGAGGCTTGCGAAGAATGCCTGGCCTTAGGTCGCGATGCCAGCTCCGAAATGCAGGAGATCCCGGAAGTTGCGGTGGCTCCAGATACCTAGATGCATTTGGGCATGCTGTGAAGCCGACAGTGTGGAATTTCCTTGTTGCTGCGAGCTAGAAGTTCACAAGGCGACACTCACTTTGTGTGTATTTGGCATGTCACCTGCCCATGAAATGAAGAACCCATGGCTTTTGTCAGCTTGCTTCATCTGACTGGGAACCGAGGGCGCAAACGACGCACTCCAGCCAGCATCGCGGGCAAAGACCAGAGGACCATACAGGGATCGTGACCTTTCACCTTTCCGGCTCGAGACAATGCGAGAAGCCAGAACACTAGGGCCTGCCAAGAGCAATAAAAGCACAAACCTTTCGCCCATGTCCTTCCTGCCAGATGAGCTTTCTCTCGTAATCTGTCATTATAGGTGAGCGGTGTTCGTTGGAACCTGATTTGCTTGGGGGTTTCGATTTGTTCCCTGTTGCCTCACATTCTGCACAAGCCTCGATGGGTAGCCCCAACTCGACGTGCCTGCCAACCGATCGCAGGAACGCCAGGGCCCGCTTCCACAGGTGCTTGGCGACCTTCGTTGGCCAGGACTGTACTGGATTTTCTTCAGCTCGAGTCTCAAGCTTCCAGATGGGCTTGGGAGAGCAGAGCAGCAGAGGCTTCGGAAGCGCTTTGTCCCTGAGCAGGAGCACGGAGAGCCCGGAGCCTCTCGAAAGTCCCCTGGTGCAGGACGGATTGCTTTTTTTTTAGGTGTCAAAGGGCGGAGAAGGTCTGAGGGTCCTACTTCCACAAGCTCGCAATATCACATGTGTATGAGAGTGCATGTGCGACGACTACTGCCTGGGAAGCGGCTTTGGTTTTGGACTGGGCCACCCTCGGAGAAGCAGTAGGAGCCCGGTCGAAGCGCCAGAGCAGACCCCGTGGCAACGCCGGAGTTTCACGAGTCGTCGCCCGGAAGCAATCCAGGGCCTGGCGAGGTGCATCTTCGCTGGCACATCCCGTTCTCAGATGTGATGATGTGTCGCCGTCGCACAGGGTTCTTCTCATTTCTGCGCAGTTCTAGATTTGAAGGGGGTAGGGTCACTCCGATATTGGCGGCAACCTTGCTTAAGATAACCTGTTTCAAGCATGGGCTGAAGCCTGCTACCTGCTACAAGCATAGACCGGTTCAGCGCAGGTCAAAAACATGCTAAGCTGGGATTCCATGGCATGCAAGACGGGAGTTACAACCCGGCAGAACATTGCTGGAGCACTTTTCTGATTCCGGCCATGCGTTGCATCAATCATGCCTGAAGCTTTGTTCGGACCTTCGGCACAGCTTATGCTCCTGCGAAGGTCGGACATGGCGACGTGGCAGCCAACCCTGCAGCGGAGAATGGTTCAGCAGTGAAGTGCGCAAATGGATACAAGCCTTTTCCCGGTCGTACTTTTGACATCGTTGGTATGCCCGCGGCTGTCCGCCTTCGAATTAAAGGCGAGCATTTGGCACGAAACCCAGAAATTTCTGGGATTTTGGGGGTTTTGTACTGGACTCGCTGTGTGGTACGAAACCGCCAAATCTTGGGGATTCCGGGTTTCGTACTGCACGAAGCCCCGAAATCGCCGGGATTTGGGAGTTTCGTATCACACCAAATTCCTGGGAAATTCAGTGTTTCGTACCACCACACGTTCGGTCGACTTTGTTCTATATTCTAGCGTTCACTTCACTATGCCGCTCAACAAACAAAGCATTGGATATCGTCGATGTTCAATGCTGTAGTATAGTGAATGACTGGACACTTTGTACATGCCTCGCATGCCGTATGTCATGTACTCTACTTGGCATGATGGTAAAGTACCTTGAGGACTTACCGTGTCTGTCGCAGAATCGCATGAACCGACCAGACATCGCAGCTACAGACCGGAACGTGGAAGCGCAAGTTGGCTTCGAGGACGTGTGTGCCATGGGGAGTGTCACGGAGTGGCGGGCATGGGCGTGTGCGTCGTGGGGGTGTGTCGCGGAGACATGTGTGTCGTATAGAGTGTTGTGCGAGTTTGACGGGAGTGTCGCGGAGTGATGGTCGAGGGCTTGCATGTCGTGGGGAGTGTCATGCGTTGGCACGGAGCGACGGGCGAGAACGGGTCGGAGGGAGTGCCGCGGAGTGGTGCGAAGACATGTGACATGTGTGTCGTGGAGTGGCGGGCGAGGGCGTGTGTGTTGGGAGCGGCGGGCGAGGGCGGGTCATGGGGGCGTATTTTAGTGGGGAATGTCGTAGAGTGGTGCGTGTGTTGGGGGGAGATGTGGGGAGTGTCGGACGAATTTGAGGGGAATTCGTGGAGTGATGGGATTGTGAGGGCATATGATATGGTAGGGCGTCGTTTAGTGGCGGGAGAGGGCACACGAATTGTAGAATGGTGGGCGAGGGCGAGGGTGGGTCGAGGTAATTACCTTGGAAAAGTCGTGAGAATTGTCATGGAGTGAGAGATGAGGGCGGCACGGGGGTGTAGGTATGAAGAATTGGCGGGAGAGTTATGGAAGAATGGGCATTGTTATTGAATATCGTGGAGTAGGGCCACTAATCGTGGGATGGCGGGTGGAGGAGTCCGAGGATGTGTCGAGAGCATCGCGGAGTCTCGGTCGAAATATTTAAGAAAATGGAAGGGCGGGAAGTTATTCGTGGAGCATAAGGACGTGTCGAAGAGAGAAAGTGTCGCGGGGAGGATTTGTTCTGTATAATCGGTATTGGTAGATGTCTACATAATTTCGTCGATAGAATTAATGCTTTCTTTCGTCAGTTTTAATGATGTAAAAGATTTAATGGATATCTTTCTTTTGGAAGATTCATAAAAATTCTCATATATATATATATTTATTTATTTTTTTTATATTTAGAAATAAAGACTTTAAAACTATATATATATATTCTTTTAATTTCATAGGTATTTTGATGATAATATTAATCTATTATGTGAATAAATATTTCGATATATTTCTTTGATATGAGCGATTAATTATTTAAATATATTTTCATTATGATATTGCTATGGATTTTTAATAAAACTATCTATATTTTCTATTCGTCTTTTTCTTTATATAAATATTTCTAAAATTCTCAATGATATTATGATATTGGTCCTTATTTTTTACTATTCTTGATAAGATTAATAATGATTATGTTTTATTATCTATTATTATTATTATTGAAAATATTTTTTTGTTCGTATTCTATTCTTTTTTCTCATATTCGTATAAATATAATTGATATTATTCATTTTATTCTTATATTTATTTTTTTT